TGATACTTAAAATCTGTCCGCTACCACCGCTACTTTATTACAAGAGTACCCTACTAATCCAGGGACAATAATTTAAAATAAGAATCGTTTAAAAATTAATTTAAAGATAATATAATAATGTTGTGTAGTCTTTAATACTATAGACACAGCCAGTTTTACTCACTGAGAGATTTATTTGTCATAAAATAATTATTTCATAATTGTATTCGAGTCTTACACACATGCTATACAGATAATGTAGAGTCGTGCATTAATTTGAGTGATGACAGATATTATGGGAGTGGCTTGATGGAGCGCAGGAGATGCAGATAACATGATCTTGACCCTTAAGAAACTTTAATTAACGCTGTCACATAACAAATCTGCTTCAAAGATAAAATTAAATAAATTGCTAATTACAACACTGAAATAAAAATATAAAGCCTGTACAAATACTAGAAATCATGAATATAAATAATTGGGAATCATGTATAAAATAAAAGCAGTGCACATTTCATTTATCTATTATTACATTTATGTAGTTTTGTTCGCTTGGCTGTTTCCAGAAATTTGTCAAATTTTTTCATCATGTGTCTTTTAATTATATGATGTCATTACGTTGCTGTCTTGCCGCCAGCCAATCGCTGCATTGCTGATCATGGTCTCGAGTATTGATATATCTGCCATTTTCGGGGAACACTAATCTTAGACAACTTAATCCAGATATTTTAATCAAATCCGCAAATTTGTTTGAAGAACCAAATTAGCCAGAGATCAGTTATCACGATTACTAGATCTGGAATCTTTCAAATCATCTCAGATGTATTAAGTGAGGTACGAAGAACGGACCCCAGGTGAACTGTGTTGGAACACAGTGCATGTTAAAAGTGCCTAGACAGTTTGTGGCAACAAAATATTTAATGACAATGTAAATCAAGTCAAAAGAGTTATTTATCTAGTATTATAGGAAAGCTTGTGTAAAATGCATAGTTTTATCCTTATTTTTTAACAGTATTTTGTTTGAACCAGTGTATACAGTCCTACAGTAATCTCTTCATACAAAGTATTGTTGTGTGGCATATATTCAGATGTTTAATAGGTTTTCTAAGAAGCCTTTACTGATGGATGAGCACAGCAACGTTATTAACAGTGACTACTGTCTCCTTCAGAATAAGTACAATTTAAGCGTCTGAATATTATTTATTTTTTTATACAGTCTTTTTTTTGTTCAGTCTAATTTTGTAAGTGGGTATATATAATTATATACAGTACTTGTTAGCAGCAGAACTAATATGAATAAGAAGTAACTTCTTAATGATATTGGTTTGTGTGATTTTGTGCATCTGTTTAGACATACGTATATAAAAGATTTTCCCTAACATAAAATTTACATTAAAGAGTTATACTTCCAGCTTATCAACTGCAGTGTTTTTCATATTGTGTAATTGATTGGTGCTTGCACACGTACAACTCGCTATCTTGTTTTTGAAGTTATTCAGAGCATTAGCACAGGACAAGTTTCAAGTCCCTAATTTTGTGCAATAGTCCTTATGTTTATATATATATATATATA